CAATAAAGCATGTTCACCTAGGTTGCCCCGGATATAACTGTTATAGAACCATTATATAATCACTACGGAACTTATTTATAACAGTTATATCCGGGGCAACCTAGGTGCTGTCTCTTATACACATCTGACGGATCCGACGATGACGACATGCTTCAGTTCGTGATAATGGAAGTTAGACGCCCGCAGCGGCATCACGAGATTACGTAGACCGATGAGGGGAGAGTCCGGGTCCGCGAACAGACATACGACCACGTGACCGTTCAGAACCGTCATCGCTGCCTGGTTACGGTCCTGCAATATTTCATGTAAATATCATAAATATAATTTAAATGTTTATTCGTTAACTTCATCGCTGCCTGGTTGCGGTCCTGCAATATTTCATATAAATATTAGAAATATAATAGAAATATTTATTCTTTAACGTCATGATTGCTTGGTTGAGATCCTGGAGTATTTATTTGGATATTATATATATAGTTCATTTATGTAGTCTTTAACATCATCACTGTCTGGTATCGTTCCTGGAATGTATACATAAGTATGCATGCCCCTAATGACAATTCGTCACCATTTAACGAAGCAATAATGCTAAAGTCTTATCAAAATGCAGTTCTCTAGGGACCATTTATATTAAGTGTTCTAATGACCATTTATCTCCATTTCACCAGGTAATAATGCTCACCAAAATGCAGTCCTCTAGGGACCATTTATGTTAAGTGTTCTAATAATCATTCATCACAATTTCACCACGTAATAATGCTCACCAACATGCAGCCCTGAGCCCTCTAAGGACCAATTATATGAAGTCTTCTAATGAACTTTCATCACCATTTATATTAAGTGTTTTAATGCCCATTCATCATCACTTCACCAAGTAACAATTCTCACCAAAATGCAGTCCTCTAAGGACCATTTACGTATATGAAGTCTTCTAATGACCTTTCATCACCATTTATATGAAGTGTTCTAATGACCTTTCATCACCATTTATATGAAGTGTTCTAATAACCATTCATCACCATTTATATGAAGTGTTCTAGTAACCATTCATCACCACTTCACCAGTAGGGAAGCTAGGATGGCCTCCTTGTCGGCGAGCGTGGGGTCGTCGTTGGACGGGACTTTGGCGCTCAGGATGACGCACATGTCGCATAAATTGACGTTAACCGCACGCAGGTCTGCTCTGCTCAGTGGCGAGCCCTGCGAAAAAAGAGTGATTACTCGTGAAAATTCTGGTGAATTATGGTAAAAATCATCGCGAAAAACAGTACAAATTGTGATGATTTACAGTAAAAATTAGGGTAGATTATATTGAATTACAGTAAAAATTGCTAAAAATTACAATAAAAATGATGGTGAATTAAAATTATAGTCATGGTGAATTATAGTTAAAATTATAGCAAAATAAAGTAAACAAGTTATGGTAAATTAATTACAGGAAAAAATATTTTTAAATTACAGAAAAATATGGTATATTACAGTAAAAATTTTGAAGGATTACGGTTGAAATTAGTAAATTTTATTAGAAAGTTCTACTCATTTCATTCAGCCGAAGAATTAATGAATAAAAATAATGAACAAAACATTTCACAAAAATTTATTGTCTGAAATAGTAAGATTAAGGATGACCTCTCGTAAAAATGTCAAAAGATATTTCGATGAAAACTCGAAGGTCACGAATAATATTATTGACAGTGGCCTAGAAATGTTCGTTTGTCAGAGCCTGTGATAAAGCAAAAAATTTATTTCTCATATGCAAATACTATAACATAATTTTATTTACGTTGTGAGAAATATTCCATTAAAATATTTAAAGTATTTGATTAAAACATTGAAAATATTAGATTAAAAATACTGTTAATATAATATTAAAATATTAAAAATATTAAATTAAAATATATATTTTTTTTGTATTAGATATTATATTCCAAGAAAATTAAACTGTCAGAAAATAATCACGCACATTCAGTACTGATATTTTTGGTAAGTTCTGCAGCATTTTCCACTCTCTTCTGATATAATCGACGGATCCGACGATGACGACATGCTTCAGTTCGTGATAATGGAAGTTAGACGCCCGCAGCGGCATCACGAGATTACGTAGACCGATGAGGGGAGAGTCCGGGTCCGCGAACAGACATACGACCACGTGACCGTTCAGAACCGTCATCGCTGCCTGGTTTAGCGTGCGTGGGATGGTAGAATACTACACCAGATATGCATGCTTGACTACTGGCTCGTTGATAAAATTCAGAAGTGAAGCCAAAAAAATTGCAATTAACTCGAGCTTTAAATGAGCATATTCCAACAAATGAACATGTAGGGAATAAATAAAGTGTTATTGTGCTAGAGAATCCACGTATTATTCCGACTGACATAAACGCGGAGCAGTCAGCAGGTACGCGAGTAGCAACTTGAAAATAATTGTAATATTATCGATAACTATTATAATATTATTGCATTATATCTATAATAAATATCCGTATCCATTATAGTATCGTTATTAAATTATAATCGTTTTGTTTTTACATTTGAACGAATTTTCGTTGAGAAAATCTATGGATATTCTCCCTATAGTTATTTATCATTGATTTTTTTACATAATAAATTTTTACATAATAAATTCGGCAAAAATTATTTCTCTGAAGTATTTAATTTGAGTACGATTTAGAGTTATTTTTGTTTTTACCAAAATTATTTGAGCAAATGCACTCTTATTTGTGGAAATCACGTCGAAAATTTCAAGTAAAGCATCACAACGGAAAAATTGTGAATTAGAAAAAAGTTTATGCGGCTTGACAGTTCATTTGAGCTCACAAATATTTTTTTAATTTGTATAGAATATGAAAGACTGGCAGATAATACATAAGGAAAATCCTTCTTATTTACAAAATATTTTAGACTTTCTGGAAACGAACTGAGTTCAGCGTGACCGGAGCGTCATGCCATAACAAATTAACCCATCAATATAACAACAGGGAATAACTAATTTTATCAGTAATAACGAGCAAGCAATTTAAAGAGAAACGAAAGAATAGTTTTGGAAATGGAATGTTTGTACGAAACATCAAAGGAGAAACATCGGTGACATCCATCACATATAAACGAAAATCTGCGGGCTCAATTAAGTGCTGGTGATGGCGGTGCAAAAAATCAACCTGCATCTACGCTAGATTGAAATAAATCTCCGCTATCAACACTAGGAAATAAAAGTGAAACTATACCCAGATAACGATGCATTTTTTGCCTTTGTATGGGTCAACCTAACACAGTTTAGCAAAAAGTTTTTCACTATTTGCACAGCATGTGAAATTCGTTGAATAAAAATAGGAAATATACGTGGCACTTTGCCCAGATAGCGATGCACTTTTTGCCTTTATATGGGTTAACTTAACCCAGTTAACAAAAAGTGTGTCACTATTTGAACAGCATGTGAAATTCGTTTATTAAAAATTCGTTTAATAATAAAATGGCCTGTGATAGACAACTAAAGTTTAAACGCAGGCAACCAATTTAAACCAATTTGTGCTATCTATGATAAATAAAAATCTATGATATAAAAAAAAGAAAACATCGTTGCATTACAGGAGCAGGCAATGGATGGATAAGGTAACATGTATAAAGAAAGACTTCATACATGAGCTTTTTGACTTCGTAGCTAAGATGGTAGCTGTAAGTGGTATCTTCGGTCAGTCTGAAACAATAGAACAACTCACTGTTAGCACACACACACACGCTATTATATTAGTAATTGTGTCACTTTTGACTAGATTCATTTCGATATTCGAATACGAGACGATTAGTATATCCGAAACCCTGGAACGGATAGTTTTAGTTTGAAAACTCGACTATGAGCGAATAGTATAAGGGTAACAGCTCTATGTTATAAAAGTATACTCGTATGAATCTAGCATTAGTTGACAATCTCTAGAGACGGAATAGTTTTCAGATGCCATAAGGAAATCAATATATCAATTGAATCAATATATATAATAGATTTCAATGAAATCGTAATAAAATATAATTACTTTTTTAAACTGGTTGAGTTGGTGGAAAGTAACACAGCATTAGCTTCACACCAATACAAACGATGCCCTAGGCATATAAGCAATAAGTCTTATTATTAACAGCAGGATTCCTTAACAATGATGATGGAGGTTATTAGTTAGAGACACGTAATTAAACGTTTTTTTCACAAGTGATCGAAAGCGACTAATCATCACAAGAAGCTTCGATTGTAAATCTTTTAATCGTTAATGACCAAATGATATAAAAGCATTGTATATTTTGCATTATTTTCAATTCTTAGAAGCTATTTTCCTAAAGAAAGATGTACAACATTTTATTATTTTACTACTTGATAGAAAATATAGATAAAGAAGGCGTGAGATGCATTTATTTATTCACCGTGAATTCGATAAGATATGGGTTAAATTACTGATCACATCTAAGAGAACGGAAACTTCATTTCACAATTTTCTCCACGGGACCCTGCAGCAATGAAAATGACGCAAATAACATTTACACTTTCAGCGAGAATAACAGAAAAAACTACACTAAATAAAATACTTATACTATCGTTATGATCACCACGACAAAATTATCAACTAATGGGTTATAAAGCGCCGGTACTTGTACAGTTTTTATTTAATTAGTTGCGCTGTGAAGAATTGCGAATCCTATTCAATCCTCCAACACTCCGGATAATTGAGTTACGGTTGATTCGTTAAGTACTTTTATACAGATTTTTGTACGCCTTCAGGGAGTTCATGATTAAATGAAATGGATTTATAATATTAATCATTTATAAAGTTCATCCCTGAGCACATTGCTTTAATTAAGATTTTATCGCATAGAGTTGAAAACCAAGGGCGGCGAATTAATCGGTACGTGATGCGAACCAATGTTGGTGATTTGATCGTTTAGAGATAGAAACCATGGGTGATGATTATTTTAATCGTACAAAGATGGTTTTCGATCACTGTATCATTGGTAGGCGAAGCATACCAGTTTTATCCTTGGCTGAGCGAAGCATACCTGTTGTATCCTTGGCTGAGCGAAGCATACCTGTTGTATCCTTGGCTGGGCGAAGCATACCTGTTGTATCCTTGGCTGGGCGAAGCATACCTGTTGTATCCTTGGCTGGGCGAAGCATACCTGTTGTATCCTTGGCTAGGCGAAGCATACCTGTTGTATCCTTGGCTGGGCGAAGCATACCTGTTGCATCTTTGGCTGGGCGAAGCATACCTGTTATATCCTTGGCTGGGCGAAGCATACCTGTTGTATCCTTGGCTGGGTGAAGCATCGACTGCTCGGCCGCCGTTCTTTTTCGAAGCGAGCGTTTTTGCAGCGTTCAACAGAGGCTGCGTGCTGCTGTTGCTGGTGGGCTGGTGGGCCACTGGAAAAAACCATTGCTGGTCATCAATATGAATGGAAATTAGAGATAATAGAGAAGAAAACAAATTGGTTGTGAAGATATTGTTTTTGAAATGACTGAATTGTGAATGAATTTGCACTCCAAGAAATAGAAATAAATTGAAAAAAAACATTAAAGGTTCGAAAAAGCAATACCATGTTAATCTTAATAATTAGTTCATTGTCTAATAAAAATTTAAGGTAGAAAATACAATCATATTACTATTGTTTATGATTGAGGGAGGCATTACATTTACGCTAATATAAATTAAATAATGATATCCTTAGTGGAGTGACTTCAATTTCAGCCTGAATTTTTAGGATGGGTAATAATATGTTTAGAAATAAATAATAATTAAAATATTTGTGGATGTATGGACTACCATAAAATATTGTTGTTATAATAATATAGCCAGATGAGTATAGAAATAACGGAATATAATTACTTCAAATAAATAAATACAACAAACTTATATGCATAAAAAAATATAATTCACATATATATGAGGTTCATTGTGCCTTGAACTTATCTACTATCATATTCCTTATATAAATTTATTACATTAAACATCAATTCAAACACAGAATATGAAACGACTGTAAATGAATGAATTTTTATATTAACATCAAAACGTAAACAATGAAAGCCATTGTGAGGTAAGCGATGGCCATCTAAGCCAAGCATCCATCAGCCAAACAACCGCAAAAATACACGCAAAAAGCAGCAGCCAACATTCATCTTTCTCACAGAAAAACAGCATTATTCATTTTCTGTGTTAAGGGTATACACAAATAACAATCATGTTATGCCAATAAATCGTAAATTAGACAGTTATATGTAATCTCACAAAAAATGGCGCTAAATTGTAACTCTGAAACTAACACAATTAATTGTAATTTTGTAACTAACACAATTGATTTTAATCCTGCAATTGACGCGATAAATTGTGATCCAAAAATTCAAATAATAAATCTTAACCTCACATTGAAAATGGATATAAATTATTTTTGCGCAAAGAATAATTTTTCGATATTTCAAATCATTTTTATCCGGATGATAGAAGTAACCTTGATACTTTTCTAACAAACATTGCAGTTCGCGGTAGATTTTGAATCCAACTTTATTCTAAACACCCTAAGAACACTGTTAACGAGCTAACTGAATGCTAGTAGCGTGCAGATTCATCGATCAGTCCCTTCATCGAAATTAATTTAATTTGAGAAATGAAATGACCGTATGAAAACTGTATGTTTTCATACGGTGCTTTTATCGAGTACTTGATTACTTAATAAGATTTTAAGAATGGCGTTGAGAAATTACTGCTGTCGCGCAATGTGTAGATATTTTAGCGTAATTCGCTGGCGGCAAGCATAAAGGCAAGTGTTTCCGGTAGGTTAATAAAGGAACTGAATTCCTAAAATCTGTATGAAATTTGTGTCGCCTTCATTGCAGTTAGGGGAGAAAAGTTCCATCTATGTATAACTTGCCAATCTCCTTATCCTAACTTTTTCTAATAAAAATTTCTACCAGTGAAGTGAATGACAAGCATCCTCTTTAAAAATTGTTTTCGTTACACAAGCAAGTGTGAGTTGATCGGAAGCTGAATAGTATCACGTGACAGGGAGAATTAAAATTGTTTTGTATCACAGATTCTCATAAATTAGAGACAACCATTTTTATTGAAGGAACTGTCAAACCGGGACTTATGACGACTATCAAAATAGAATTAACACGATTTTATCCGACCTCTGAGAAAACTTATTTCTTCATGCAGTAACATCATAGGAGTATGTTTTCATTTGTCTGGATAAAACTTGCATTTAAACTCTCAGTTTGTCGTCTTTTACCTACTGACGTTGAAAATTCGAATCCAGATTGAGCCATGCAAGTTATTCCATTTTACCGGCGGTAAGTTGAAGGGCTAAATTGATATGAGCATGGGTAAACATAATACCTATTATCTATTGCAGGAAACTGTAACAATAAGAATTTTATTTAGTTTCCCACAGGAATTTCACAATCATAATGAGCTCCATAGCCTAGTACCTTAAATGTCTTAAATATCAGAGCAGCAGTCGGAAGGTTGGGATTTGTATGTAAAAATCAGAGGATAGTTCGTGCAAAGAGTTCGGCGGAGCATGCAAGAAATAAATGTCCGTATCAATACGTCATATTGCTGTATGTACCTCTGAAGCCGCTTCATCGCCGTATATGGACGATTGACTAGAATATATGGCATCGGATCATGAAGAATATTATTTTCCATACATCGTTAACCCGTATTGTACCAACTTCAAATTTCGTTTTTTTTCCTTGATTTTTCCATTCAATAACAACATTGATGCGTTCACAGAAATGTTTCCGTTTGAACGTAATTGATAAGGTTTGAAAATCACCAATCAGGTCAAAACTCTTTTCCAGCTTAAACTAAAAAATTATAATAAACCACTAACGATTTTAAAATAAAATAAATGATTTTATTTCAATCTTGAACCACGAGTGCTCGAGCGTTCACTAGCAGTGACGCCAATAATTCCAGGAGCGCCAAATTAAATTTCTAAAATTAGAAGAACAAAGCAAAAAAAATTAATTTCGGAAAGTATATATGAACTCCCATAAAACGCAGCATGTTTATGAGTTTCAGTAACAAAATTATTTAGCAGTTATTCGGCACCACGTTGAAGATTTACGATTATTTCAACGGCCAACATTTACGCACAGCTTGTTAAGATTATGAAAATCTACTTTAGTGTGAGGCATAAATTAAGCCGATGAGATTGATTGCGGGGATAACAGACAAGGTTCATGTCAAGGATCAGGAGAATAGAAAGTTATAAGAAAATTCTCATTTGTAACAATCGAGAGAAAGCCGACAAAAAATAGGAAAAATTTGATATAATATTTCAGGCAATACTTCATTTAAATTCCAAGTCATTTGAACGGAAGCTAAGCAAAATAATCGACTAAATAGTTACATATTAATCTTTTGTACCATCGAAGCCGTTCATAAAATCCTGCAGTAAACGGACCAGAATACAAAAAAATTTCTCATGAAATTTAACATGTCTGCCATTGAAGTAAAATCTCATTCAGTGAATTTGAAATGCAAAATAATAACACGCCAATTCGTTTCATGTTTACAAAGAACGTGAATTAAGGTTCTAATAAAAAGTAAAATTGAGATGTGCAATAATCATATCTCATCCATGGCAGGCAATTTGATGGTCAGGTGCAATAAATGCTGAGAAAAGCGTGTGATAATATGATTAAATTCCCATTGAGAATCATGGTTGGCTTATCGGTGGCCATCGATAAGCCCGCAGCTGGCCACAGATAATTTACCAATGACTTTCAACGAGTGAAAAATGTATAAAGCCAAGCGGCAAACCTGACGATGCTAAATGGATGCCTGGTAAGAAAAGACTCGAATAAAATATAATAGTTATGCCTGGTTGTAGCAAACGAATGGATATGTGCTCCGCAGTATACGGCAACGTACGCGAGAGGTGTTATAAGAAGCGATCAACTCTACAGCTATGAAATAACTGGCAGCGGTAAATGAAATGTTTCGTATACATGGTGAGATCAACGTAAATAATTATGAAGAAAATCGTAAGCATCTCAACTTACGTCCATCTTTGAGGCCAGCCTTGTCGCCTGAAGATGCAATAACAAAACGATCAGACAAAGCTAGTGTCGCGAGAGTTGCGTGGACGCCATATTAATCACAAGAAAGTAGGTTTGAGCTGTAGTATCGTTAGCCGTAATTGCATACACACATTATTCTCGTTGTAAATAACTAGTAATAATCAAATTCAATGCTACTCGCTTATAATAATGAACAATGTAATGTACATTTTTTAATTTACAATGATACTAGCAAAAAAATGTACATAGATGGCTCAAAGCTATTCCAAGTCGTACTGTATAATTTTCATTGTAACACTAGCTTCCTGTTGAATAAAATTTATTAAAAATCGTCTATTACCTGATAATCTTACTGAGTCACTCTGAGTAATGGGAAAAATGAATAAAATCATTTTATTTTAGGTTTTTCAGAGTATTTTTGTGTTCTCACAAGGCTCATACAATATACTTTCCCTTTGATCGCTAAGATCTATCAACTAGCACAATCAGCGTTACTAATTTAGTTCACTAATGAAATAAGTCGAGCGGATATTGAAAATCTAATAAAATCTTGAACCGATTGGGGAAATTTGCATTATAACACAATTACGAAATAAAGAATTTATTAATTATTTTTTGCAGGACTTCAATAAAAAGAAAGCAATTGAATTAACGCTGAAATTATTAGATACTCAAAATGCGTTTCTATCATTCGTGTCCTCCTTCAGCAAGCAGCAACCAGTCATGCATAACTCAATATCCATTGGGATTATTTGTGTCTCGATATTTTATTTACTAAAGACGACCCGAATTTAGGGACTGGATAGGTTAAAATGCTTGTTCCAAATCAGCAATATGGAAAAATTAAAAATTACTCATCGATGATATTAAGCAATAATCAAATTAATAGCTGCTTCGCCAAATGTTTTCCTCAGAATGTAAACGAAAACTTCCGACATTTGGATTTTATACGAGACATTTGTAGTAATGTTTAACATTTTCTCTAGTGGCAATTTACGACAGTTAAGTGTTGTGATTTTAAGGGAACTGGACGAAAAAGTGTCTTTGAGAACCTGTCCATTTGGTACTAAAACATAGCGAATGTAACTCCAGTCATACGTTCCAGCGACATTTGAAGGTAATCTATTCCACACAAGTATCGGAAAGTATACAAATCATCTACACGAGTATTTATTGTGCGGCATGACATATTTCAACACACTACCTCTGTTGGTACTAGGTGGCCGCTTGGGCGCCATGGGTGGGGTGTAAGTGACTTGGTAGATGTCAGCGTTATTATTGGACTTATCTGAAACAGATGCAACAAAATGACCTAAGTCCCGTTTAAATAAATAGTCAATCGTCAGAACACTTTCTCTCTTAAGTTTGAAAATATAACCTGTTTAAAGCAAGTCCCGAATGATGGTTTCTTACTGAATTGCGTCATATTCGGATATTTTTCTCGAGATGCTCACCTTCCGTTTCATAAGCTCACCAGGGAAATCGCGTCTGAATGATAGAACAGCGAAAAATAGCGCCAACATATGATGTATGAGCAAGAAATGTGCCGTATAAAAACAAAGTGGACAATTGCAGATAATATTATGTGAAACATCAAAAACACTGCTGTAGTTTTTGTGGATTAAAGAGGAACGCGATTTACTAAAATGTTTAGATTGATTATATATTGAAACACACCGCGTCCCACGTGAATGAGATATTTTAAAAACTGTATCTTTTGATAAAATGTCTTGTATGCATGACATTTCAAGTACAATTCATTATTAAACAGAATAAAGTGTAAGAGGAAGAAGAGAACAGGGTTAACATAGAGGGAAGGAAGGGCAAGATAAACAAGGGTTCGTCGTTATTGTCCAAGTCAAGCTGGTTAAAAACGACATCACATTCAGGTCCATTAAACTGCAGTAGGTTAACGCGAAAATCAACGAATAGCTCTCAAGTGTCTCATAACAACACTGTACAACATTCCACTATCGAGACATAAAAGGGTTTATTTGTAATAAACGTGTAAAATAACTACAGGGCACAGATATCTACAATACTGTTGAATAGACTTGCGGTGAAGCTGTAATCTTCTATTATCTTCAGTTATTTTTAGATAACGATTTTAGATGCGAGTGAACCATGTTTTTGGGATAACGTAACATAGTTCTCATTAGATTGCCATTATAGCGGTGAAAAATAAAGAAAGGAGGGTTGGCAATTCGATGAATGATAAGACGAACAAATTTGTTGAAAACTTGTAATAGATACGGTTAGAGGGATCGCTTCTTTTAAATATCAGATACATGAATTTTATCAAGAAATCTTTACTAGTGAAAATTTATTATATGTTTCAGTTTTCATGATAATATACATTGCAATTTGGGGACAAAAATATCAATAAGGTTCTTTAATATGGAACAACAATTCCGTAGTTGATCTGCATTTATTCTGACACCTCCATTAGACAAACACCAAAGAATGAAATCCATTACTTGTTAGGAATGAATAGACATTTACCTATATAGCTTGAAACATCCAAAGAAAACACAATTATCTAAAAGAACGGCATCCTAACATATCAGAATCCTAGAATATCTGAACTCAACGGAGGAAGTTGTACCTACGTCGGTCGGTGACGAATGTGTTACACATTAATGTATAATAATACAATGATGTTTAATAATAATACATAGTGAACGTGCACAACATGCGCTACATATTACAGGCAGAATTGTTGATACCTACTTGTACGGCCTACCAACTGGACTGCGCGAACTCCTTTCCTGAACAAGGCCACTATAGAAGAAAGATGGGTTAGTTGACAGGCATGCAGGGCCCACCCATCAGAAAAAATATCATTGTAGCAATAAAAAAATATCCTGGAAGCTGTTTGACCAACGCTCCAACCAAGAGCTTTAATTAAAAGGATTTTGGTAACTTGAGGGTAGGAAACAATTATGAGAAGATTTGGAAGAAGAAGGTTAAATTTCAATAGACAGCAAACTAATTAAAAGTTAATCGTATAAAGTTATAGTGCATTTTAAAATTCCTTCGAGAGAGGAACCATAAACTTTGCACAGTTTTTGATTTTGTTAATGATAGCTCAGCAATTGTTCCCAATCATTAAGTGAACTCCAAAGAAATTGGTTGGATTTTGGAGGGGCGCACATGCAGCGGTGCGGTAAGAACAACATACTTCGATCAAATACAATATCGTTCCCGTGAAGACAAGGGTCGCTAGTTGCCGTGCACAGCTTCTTTGAAAAAAAAAATGTTAGCGTTTGAAGCGCACAACAAACTTGCGCGTAAAAATAACCCATCTGGCAAAAATATTGCGGGGAGAAACACAGGCGTTTCAGCCTGTCAGCGAAATAATTAGCTAAATAATGTCCATTGGCATTTCTTTGCAAATTTTTCACAACGCCCAATTTTTCACAACGCTCAATTTCACAATTTAGTAATAATTACATAAATAAAGTCAAGTTCGGTGACAAATTTGCGAAGCTATGGTAACGTGTTAAGTTTTACGAGAAGATCGATATTTAATTGAGAATTTAGTATTTTATTAATTTTTCTGATGTACCAGGAGTTTTCAAAAAGAAATTTTATACCTGAATAAATTTAAATTTACCAAGGAAATGCCAAGTCACCGCAGAACTGAGGGCTTAATTAATGTGCAACGAGGTATAAGATGAAGAAGGCCGTGACTCTGAAGCCTTATATTCTCGCCAAGTGTGAAGATCTCAGAAGTAAAGTTCGGGGGCTGCCAATATACTACTGAATAAATATACTGTACAGTACAAAGTTACGTCAGAGCACATGGTTTACAGAACTGCCAGATATAAACTGCTAAAGATTTATTCAGGATAATTCAAAAGATTTAATTAAATGCTTCAGGCATTTTAAGCAGAAAAAATTGTAATCGAAAGTGTAGTGAAGGATGGCACATACAAAAAAAGTCAGGCTAAGAAAGTTACATAGAACTGGAAACCATGGAAATGACTTGAGGAGGGACCGTTATTTAGAGAAGAACCAGGAGGTAGATCGAAGGTATTATTAGAAAGGAAGAATGGATAATTGTTAAAATGTCCTCCAAGTCGTTTGATTCGAGGAGTCGAAAAAAGGATTGGCTGGAACAGCACACGAGAGTGTGACGCCAAATTGTCTTCAAACCATAAACTGAGGAATGGATCCTTGGTACAATGTTCTCCAAGTTATTATTTAAAGACTATGAGTCAAATAAGAGGCTTGGCTAATAAAACAGCTGTGAGAGGGTGTGACGCCTGGTAGTACGATACCGATGGAACACCCTTATCACATCTCCATAGTCCAATACAAGCCGTTTAAAGAACTCAAGAAGCCATGGGCCAAACAATCAAACCAAGATAAGGCAATGCCCAATTAAAGTGGAGAGATACTACGATGTGTGCAAGAATCACTGACTTCATAACACTCGTATGTATAATTAAGAACGGGCATGAGCAATGAGAAGAATATGATAGACGAGTTAGTGACAGGGTAATTCCGAGCATCAACACATCGGCCTACCCTCGCTCTCAGGCCCATCCAACATCGGCATTAAATTCTTCATGAGGCCACTCGCTTGCAGCAAATTGCCAAGGTCTGTAACATAATAACAAGCTAACTCTGCTGCGTTACATCCCATAGTGAGGAACATACTAGTAACTCATCTAGTCATGATGATTATGTTCTTTTTGCGATTATGAGAGCTAAACCCGTAACAGCATCAAGCGTTTGATCTTTAAAATGGCCAAACCGAAAAACGATTATAACAGTTCCATTATAATTCATCCTAATTTATTTCTATCGTTTAACTAACAGAGTAGCCAATTTATACTGAATAAATTTTTGTAACAGTTATTCGAGAGGACAATCCTATATGGAATTCGAGGATGTAGCATCATCAAAAATTAATTGAAACCTTCCATTGTTCTAGAACTGATGACGTGGGAAATGACAAACGCAGACTTTTTGGTCAAATTTTGTTGTTCATGGGGATTTCTTAAAATAATTATTTTGAAGTAATTAATGAATTTCTTTTTAAATTGAGAAAAATAATCCACCAAAAAATTACATTCGCAAATCATTAGGACCTTGGATGTATAATTCCCACATTGGCTCATGAACATTAAAAGGCTAGTGAAGCACACCAACTTTGAAGTAATATTGATGGGATTCGTGAGTTTTTATACTGGAAGAACCACGGGAAAATTTAGGCTTTTTAATAGCTTTGGTGGAGATCATGTCTGGAATTAGCTTTAACAAGATCACCAGAACACCTGAAAAGAAGTCATCTTAAGAGAAAGGGAAACATATATGAAGATAGAATAGCATAATACAGGTGTAAAGTTTACAGAAAAAGAAACTCGACGTTACATTAAAAAAATATGAACACAGTTCAAAAAGCGTCTGGGTGCAGTAATGAGTTCACCATCCATGAACAAATATTCATCTGATTAGATTTAGAATCGAAATAATGCCCACAATCATTTAATATTCATCAATGGTTCCACTACTTGCAAGGAAATTCTATTAAATTGAACAGTTATTCGTATATTGACTTGAAAAGGGGAAGCATGTATGTATTGTACGTACAATGCATTCATAAAATTATTTGAAGAATTGTGTTAGAAATATTTTCGAACAACCATCTCTATGTTTGCTTGAATAGTTGAACCATTAATGTAAGAAGTATTGAGAAGACGAGGTCCAAACGCATCAATCGAAACTTTTGAATACCATTTATGGAGGCAGTGAAGAATTTCAACATATAAAAAAAGCCATAAGCAAACCAGCATAATAAAAGGAAAACCAGTTACCTCGTTTCACTGGCCGGCAATCTTACTATCTTAAACCTAACCGATATTTAGGGTCGCCTCAGCGTCTGATTTGGGTAATCAGAAGCTGGCGCGTCTCTATATTTTGTACGGTTAAAAACTTCTTTTTAAAGTACCGTAAGCTTCAGTTTGTTGGAACATCAAAAAAAGATCTTCGAAATTGGAAAATATCACTCGCAATGATAAAATGGATGGAATTAGCGAAAAAAATATCAAAATTCAAAGTTATCACTTGACAAGGAATATTAGAACTTATCTAATAATCCTGCAGAATTTAGATTATAAACACTTTTGAAAAACGCGTAAGACAAAAATGAAGTAAAAAACAAATAGCGCCCGAGAAAAATGCATGAAGTTTAATTTACCGTAGAATTAACACATAATTAAACTACTCGAATCAATATCATATGTGAGAAGCCCATGAGAATGATTAAGAAGATTTACACAAAATTTTGAATTTTTAACTATCTTTGGCTGCCTGAAAGAGAACTGAAACTCTAAGAGATATTTTGTGAAAATCTTTTGATTTGACAAACGTATTATTCCACGAGTGTATTGCATGCCAAGAAGGTGAAATAATAGCAAAATTGTGTTTGTGAGAATTAATTAGTCTCCAGAAAAGCAATGACTTCAATGGAAAATTCAGAGTTTTAAACAAAAATATGGGAAATATCATTTAGAGATTAGAAAAGGTGAGATGCTCAATAAATAAAGAAATATTAATAATATTTCAGCACCTAAATCGATTTTATGAGCTTAACACCAATGACCAATTTAATACTCAGTGCTGCCAATAAAAAATTCATCTGCATATCGAAAAGTAGGTCCAGAAAACAACAACATAAATTTTCGGAGGGCTCGCACAGATTAGTTATAGGTTGGTCTAGTAAATCTGTTCCACGTTTTTTGTAGAGGATAGCATATCATATTTAAATGACTTACAGTTTTTGCACTTGCACTTCTTGATGAGAGTTTCATCCTTGATGTCATCATGGCAGGCACGGCAGTAGTACCAAGCTCTGCGGGCAGGTCCAGTGAATAGATAAACGTCGGCACATGAATATTTTACGAAATATTCTTGTAAAGTCTGTTACTCCCAAGCGTTGTCCTAACGTTCATGCATTCCCAGTCTAATTCATTAATTTTTTTAATACGCTCATGTTATCAACGAGTGTGACGTCCACTTTTAAAGTATTTCAGTAGCTCCAATGTTAAGAAAGGCATATTTATAATTTTTTAATTGTAAATATCGAAAACAGAAACTTCAACACGAAAATTAACGCATTTCTATGCTTGTATACAAATATTCAGGTTACTACCTTTTATTTAACATATTTTGATTTAGTTTTATACATTTGAATTTAGTTCTGTACGCAACTCTGTCATTCACCTATTAAACATTCATAAATGTAAATACGTCGCACAGTTTTTCTCAGGCACCTTTGCGTTCTGCAATATTCTAATGACTGAAAACAAAGTAATAGCTAAACATATTTACTTATTAATATCATGAACGCGCCTTTTGAATAACCAAAAAAATTATAACACACCTTTTGACCTCGTCTGCTGACTGGGCAATGAAGAAGCCCTGTGTGTTGTGTTGGATCTTCACAGCTTTAGGGTTAATTGCTATCTTGCTGTCTGTGTTGTCTTCGTTCTTCACTTCAATGGCTAGCAAGAGAAGCTTGAGCTTCGCAAAACACAGCCTGAAATTATGGTTATTTTTGCAGTTGAAGGAATTATATAACCAAAACTAACCTGGTAATTTCTTTGAACTAGATTTTAAAGTAATAATTTTTGTAGTATTTGTTCGTAAAGTCTTCAGAAAGAACGGTAAATGATTGGTACACTGCTCTTCAATTATTTATCATTTTCTTGCTCATTAAAAGTTACCTACTAGCAATTTTTTCTTTTAAACTAAAGTAACTTTGAATATAAATCTAATTCATTAGTAGCTTTCTGTAATAATAATTATTCTTTTGTATTAGTACAAATCATCTACTATACAAACAAGTGACTTGGCAATCAATTCTGCCCATTCCCAAAACATGAATTTAATTGGTATTATTATATCAAATATTTACTAAAAAGGATAATAATTATTATTAGTTATTGGACGATTAAAGCTTCAAAATTTCTCAGTCACTAGAAAAGCAGAAAATTCTACATGCAGAATTATCACGTAATGTTATTCGTACAGAAGAAGTGTTTAAATTATGTGGTAAAACACATAATGTTATTGGTATTATGAAAAAATATAACTCAGTACTCACTGCAGTGAGTGACAGAGAGCGCATTTTCTAGTCGACGAAAACGTGAAGTCACGGACGGACAGACGGACTGATGGACGGACGGACGGACGGACGGACATGGCGAGCACAATAGCGCCTTTTTTCCATAAATGAGAAAATGCGCTAAAAATAGTGAAGATAAAGGTTGTTAAGTATTAGTCACTCTTACTCGGACGCCTGAGGGAATGTCATGTCAACAAAGCTGGGCGCGAGCGTCTCAGTGTACATCTCGCAGCCTGTGCCGCACAGGTAATCGTTCTGCCACGCCTGCATGTCCGGCGACTGCGGGGTTACAGTACGAAAAATTCCTTCAATTTTAATATTAGTAGAAAATATTAGTAAAATAATAGAAAAATATTAGTAGAAAAAGTAAAAAGAGAAGATAGGAAAGTAGGTTAATTATTGTAAGCATGGAAATTCCTTCAATTTTAATATTAGTAGAAAAAGTAAGAAGAGAAGATAGGAAAGTAGGTTATTTATTGTAAGCATGGAAATTCCTTCAATTTTAATATTAGTAGAAAAATTAGGTAGAGAAGATAGGAAAGTAGGTTATTTATTGTAAGCATGGAAATTCCTTCAATTTTAATATTAGTAGAAAAATTAGGTAGAGAAGATAGGAAAGTAGGTTATTTTATTGTAAGCACGGAAATTCCTTAAATTTCAAGGTTAGAAGAAAAAGTAAGAAAAGAAGAAAGAAAAGTAGATTATTTTATTGTAAGCAGGGCAATTCCTTAAATTTCAAGGTTAAGGGAAAAGAGTAATTATTAGGAGAAATAGGAAAAGTAAGTATTTGCCTTACTCTTGCATGTCTGGTGACTGCAGGGGTTAATGCACCGAAAATTTCGTTCAATTTCAAGTATATGGTTAGATGAAGTAGTAGAAGTAGGAGAAGTGTCCGGCGGCTGTCCGGTTAGAATACAGAAAATTCCTTCAATTTGAAGGTTAAAGTGGGAGATAATAGTGAAACTTACAAGGAGAAATACGCACCACAGGGTTAGAGCCGTAAAAATCCATTCAATATAAACATTATAGGAATAGAAAGTGAAACGACAAGAAGTATGGGAACGTTATTGAAGTCGCCGGCTTACAGGCTCGATGCTGGAATATTAGATAATAAAAGAAGCTTTAAAACGTGAAGGATTATGTAACACAACGCAGATCTACTCCAAAATCCAATGCATGATTGCTGTAGGTCAAGCTGGTTAAATGTTGAATCATCAAACTAGAATTTTAATGCAAAATCCAACATTTAAATTATTCAATTAAAAATGACGTTACTGTTGTAAAAATATTAATGAAAAGTAACAGCATTAAAATATCAATATACGATAGTTTTAAAGTGGTAGTAACTGCAGTGTGGTACTGAAAAAAAGGGCGCCAGGCAGTGAACTCAATTAATGTAACGCAGATATTGTGAGTAAATATGATATTTCGTCATGGCTTCATTATCATTGATTGCAATTGCATATTTTATATATTAATCATCTATTTCAAAATAAAAATAAATATCACGATGGTGAAGGTAGCACAAACTATACCAAACGCATAATTCTTGTACTCCAATATGGTCTATTTAAAGGTTTCAGGCGAGTCAACTCAGCGATGCAATAAAAAATAATATTAGTTGGTCAAAATTATTCAAGAATTAAAAAAATAGTAACATCGGGTGAAAAACATTGAAGAATGAGCGAATTCCACAGATTCAGTTTGCGCATTTATAATTTCAGCATACGTACGTATGCGGTGAATATTACCTCCATTGCAAGATGAGTTTCACTGGAATGATCTTGATTTAGGGTGATCGGTAAAAAATATTGAATGGATCCCATTCATACACATCTAAAATGAAATACCCAAATAACTAGGATGATTCCTAAATTTTTAAGAACTTGTAAACTATAAATTCAATCCATTTGAAGACATATAGCATCTGTGAATTGATGCGATCGCATATAAAAGCACGGGATGAACAATTCAGTTAGGCGAACAAAATTGGCGGGTAAAGTTACGTCACGTAAACTAAACACAAGCAAGCAGGGGTAAAGATTAATGATATTCAAAATTAGAAGCAATTTGCAGCTGGTAAAAATTTCACTTCGTAAAAATGGATTGCAAATGTTATTCAGCACTCAGGTTTTGTCCGCAACTCACGCTGACGTTTCATCGAAAGTCAGTTTGACGAAGGCTGGACTTAGAGTCTCAGTGTACATTTCCAGGCCAGAGCCTTGTTGGTAAAAATTCTGCCATTTGGGAGTTTCAGAACCCTGGAACCCACGAAGTTTCGAAAAATTGCATTATGAATGGAATGATTCTCTTTCTTAATTTCTTTGAACATTGTTTCGATTACATTTTTGAAGACAGTCATTTTTAATAAGGCTCTCGGAACATATCTCGTATAAAATCAATTTGACCAAGTGGCAGACAGACTGAAGACTGTAATTTTGATTATATTTAATGCAAAGAAATGTGATATTCGCGAATCATTCAATAACAATAGCTAATATCAAAGTTATAATAGTTGAAGACTTTTGTTTTCAGTCTTGTTCATTTTTCCGTGTTTCGTTAAGTACATTACTGGGGAACCTTATTAGCAGACATGAGGGCATCTCGGAGTTGGACTACTTTATTATGAAATATGGCAGTGCTAATATGTCTAAATATCATAATGAAATGAGCAGGAAATAAATAATATGATAAAAATAATAATAAATAATATCCTAAAAAAATAATAATAAATAGTATGATTAAACTGACCGTTTTGTATGATCTCATAGCGAAGAGGTTAGCCATCATGGTGGAGAAGCCTGGAGCGAGGCAGGACTGTGCGATGAAACCAAGCTTGAGTTCCGCCAGACAAATCACGTCGTCGCCGCGCTTCCAATCCCAGGAAGGAATGTTCAGCAGGTAAGCCTGTGAAAAAAATAATAAATCAAAACTAAAAAAATTAAATGAAAGTGTTATTTTGGTAATTCTTTCTTACTTATTAGCATGCACACATATTCTCTTAGATGCAAATTCGTATTGAATTTCTAATTCATAAAACCAGTTAAAAACAACGCCAATAGTTGAGCCGATGTAAGCTATAACCGAACTACTTATATGACTATAAATGACTATATCTCAAGACAACCAACCTTATTGTGATACTGCATGAGTTGAATGATGACTCTGATATCATCGGAATAATTTTTGATGGATATAACCCTCATTATGTTAGCAGCGTCCTCAGCGTCAGGGTCCTGGCAGTATTTATTGGCCAGCACGAGACACGCGTCTGCCTCGTGCACCTGTGGCCGGCGTGGTCATTAGTGAACCGTGAACAGTACAGTATTTAATATACAATATTAATAATATATATAATATAATATACATACACAATATAAAGGACAACAGTATTTACTTTTAATAAGAAATCGCAGTTAATTATGTGATAGCTGATGCGTATTGTGTAATAACTCAGCAAATTTTTTCATCTGTCATTTGTGTAAATGCAAATGATTGTTTGTGTTTTTTATTGTTGTTTTTTTAATGGTTTAGATGGTGGAATTTATGTTCAGATTTATAATTTAGAGTAGGCATGGATTAAAAAGTTTATATTTGCGACTGAGGTTAATGTAATTGCGTAAGATTTGAATGGATGTGTTCTTGAATATTAATTTTCTACTCATTGTTTAACCATTGCAACTGCGAGCCATGAATACATTAGTTTGCTTACTGAATTTAATTAATTTACATTTTGAAAAAAGCAAGTAATAAATGATCCGGAAAATATTCAGCTATTTGTTGCATTTCGAATTTCAGCATCTGGAGTTTTATTGAAATAAAAAATATACGAATTAATTTAACGTTTCCAATCCGCCTGAAAAAAATTCGAATTCAATCTCTTAATTTCAAACATGATATTTTCTAAAGAATACCGCGAAAAATATCGACAATAGACCGAAATATTTAAATAATGTTAAAATCTCATGATTTTTAGTCCTTTGTTCGTAATAAATTGGCATTTCAAATAAATTTCGTATATACGTAGGCCGTAAAAATTGACGTTTAATAAAAAATAATTTTCAGCATACGACCAAAATTTCGTATAAAATTATGGAGAACCATCCATTACAAGAAATGGAAAAAATTTTGGACGGCGTTAGAGGAGACTGAACTATAATATTGGATCGGCAACACGCCTTCTAATGGAACGGTTTCGCGCTCTTCTAATGGAAACGGTTACGCGCTCTTCTAATGGCAGCGATTTCACGCTCTTCTAATGGAAACGGTTACGCGCTCTTCTAATGGCAACGGTTACTCGCTCTTCTAATGGGAACGGTTACTCGCTCTTCTAATGGGAACGGTTACGTGAACTTCTAATGGTAACGGTTACACAATCATCTAATTGAAACGGTTACTCGCTCTTCTAATGGCAACGGTTACGCGCTCTTCTATTGGTAACGATTTCACGCTCTTCTAATGGAAACGGTTACGCAATCATCTAATTAAAACGGTTGTATGTTCTTTTAATGGACATTTTTGTAGGTTTAACAAACGGAAACGACTGTACGACCTTCCAATATGAACAGTTGTAAATAAATGACCAAAAATTCAATCTGTTGGGTTTGCAAGTTACGGAAAAGGCAAATTCACGCGAAGTCTAAATTTTTGCATAAATATATTGCAACCTAATACACCTCAATTAATTCAGAATAAGTGAATTGTATTTTTTATAACCCTAAATAAAAAGAGAATCCCATCCCAAAAAGAGAATCTGTTGTCCACGAAAGTGATGTGGAAGTGATATAAAATGACAGAATATAATCAGCAAAAACCGTCCTAATTCACTATAACAACCTGACGGATGTTTATGACATATTATAGATTTATGAATACATATAAAAGCAGAAGCTCAGATTTATAACAATCTCTTACCTTGTCATCATATATTGAACACAAGAACGATATTTCATGTATAAGCAGGTATATAATATTTCAGCGTTGTATATATCATTATTTCAAGCTTAAGTTAAAATTTTATCGAAACTCGGAGGAAAAAACACAAGCCAGAGTTAAGGAAAGCACGAGACTGGCAAAACACAAAAGAATGGATTAAAAATTTAATAAAGTGACATCACACAGCAAACAATAAGGAGGGGAAGTGCAGACAACAAACATGCGTACGACTAAAGCACGAGCACACAGACTATCGGGTAAGTTATTTTATTGTGAACAATAGACGATGAATAAATTATCAGTCTATTTCACAATAGGAAACAGGCGGCGTTGGTGTGGTTCGCTCACACTTGTCTCGAGCAGCAGAGAAGATGTTGTGCAAATTTATATGATTTTGATCTTTGTTTCTGTTTCTAATTGTGATATTTAATTATTTGTTTGTATTTTAGACGAGAGTTTAAAAATGCTATCCAATTTCGGATTTTATTCTTTTAATAATTATTTCTAAAGTTCTTCAGATGGAAATAAACATTTGATGGAATACAAATAAAATGTTTCAGTTCTTCTCATGGTTCAGGCTGCTCAAAGAAGTGTTCGGCATAAGTACGGAGTTCTGTTTAATCATTCGAAGGAAGCGTCGATGGATTAATGAGTTTAGTTATTAAAAGGATGTAGACCGCACGTAGAAGTCGATGCAAAAAATATGAACATGCACTCACTCACCCACATGACTATGGCGCAAGTAGAGAGCAATGTACCGCGAAGTAGGATGCACCGTGTACCGCGAAGTAGGAACAATTGTGAATATCTACAAGTAGGAAGAAATGTGTACGCCGAAGTAGGATGCACCGTGTATCGCCAAGTATAGGAAGAAGTGTTCATCTCAAAGTAATGAGGCACATGTATCGCCAAGTATGAATTAGTGAGCAGTGTACCGCGAAGTAGCTGATGCAATGTGTACCGAGTAGTAATAAGCAGCGAGTACCGCAAAGTAGGAAGGAAGTAGTGCATAGTAAGGAAGGATAGTGCGTATCGCGAGGTATGAAGTAGCGTGTACCGCGACGATGGAATGATCATGAAGAATTTCTCACCTGGAGTGCGCTATCGCTCCATATTTCATATATAGATTTTTTTTAAGGCCTCCCACACTCACCATTCCAACAAAAAAAAAGGAATTGATTTTATTAATTAAAAACAGGGAATGGTTTCATGTCAATGATCAGGGCCCCGACCTTAACGCCTCTGATGGTGGCCTACACCGACTCCGAGGGTCACTGAGCTGTGACGCGAACGAGTTTAGATTGACATCTAAACTTTAGGATCGAACTAAATAATGCTACCAATTCGGTGAAATTTTTCATAACATAATAGGTGATCATGGATATCTCATTGCTTTAAGCATCTCATTAGAGCATAAAGATTTAGTATGTGAATGGACGTCCATATAAAACTAAATTAGTTAAAAATGAGACTTGGTTGAAACTTCTTGATGACTTGAGAGAGTCACAGCGGAAAAATTTATGCCGTAGGAAGAGTCACAACAAAAGCTATTGAAATTGAAGGGTACCATAGTTAGGCCAGGAAATTTTTTTTTCCTCGTGATATTTCAATTTCTTGTGCTTTAATTAACCGTTAGACGTTTTTCAAAACTTAAAGGTAATTCTGTAAAGCGATGATTCAAAAATTGTTACATTTTTTAGTTCAATTCAGGTCACATTTTGAATTCTATACAAATTTTGAAAATTTAATAAAATCAACAAATGAGATTGAGAAGTAATTTCAAAATTAACGAAATGAAGGTGGACAATTATTTGCACTGTCGAACAACCCAATATTGAGAATACTTAATTTACAAGTGCATAGTCTGTTTTCAATGAATTACTCTAAACTAGTTCGAACAAAACTTTTCATTTTCATGCGAGCAAGAAATAGTTTAGTTGCCTGGTTGGTTGCATTTCAGGTTTTTAAAATGCTTTTCAGTTTTATTTTTTATATCAATTAGATATATTTATATCTAATTTTATAATTTTATTCATAATATCAAACGCCATGTATTGGGGTAGGTAGTATTGCAGTTTTTTTTAAATCTGGTTGCATGTATACATTAACAACGCCAATTTTAAATTCATTAGTACCAGCTGATTTATATAGTTCAAAAGTCCGTAGAATTTTCTTGAGAACAATTACGTTTCTTTAGTTGACATGTATTCTGTGACCAGATTTATTACGTAAAATTTGCACAAATGCAGACTTTCGTCATTAATTAATTATTCTTATACTTATACTAATTATATTATACTTATGTGTCTTGTGGACGAACTGTACGGTGCAAATTTTAGTTCAAGAATATTTATATAATACTAGTATTATCACGGTTAACATTTCCTTGACGGCCGCTTGTCAGTAGCGCTTGAGCAAATTAACATGTGGCGGTGTACGAATATTAAGCATAGTTTCTGTGAGACACGAATACGTTTGGGGGGCATAACTAGATACGAGTTGGACACATGTTGCTATACGACATCGATATGTCACGGTATGTTTCCATCAACTGCATTGTACGTACCTTTACTCTCTGCAGGTCAATGGGACTCATTATGGAGCCCTGGAAGAACTCAACCGTAGTGAAGTGCCGTTTAAATAAGCCTTCTAACTCCAGATCCGGGCGCTTTCTGTTTGTAAAAATGCACCACCCAAAATTGAAAGGGAACAAATCGACAAGCAGAGAATTAAATAGCAAAGAGAAACAGAATCGACTCAAAGTGTACAAGGGGAAAACTGGATTTAATACCTTCAAAATGCAGACCTGAAAAAAAATTTTAAGAGAACATTCCGATGTCATGCAGGAAACAAACGATCGACTGAACTGAACGTTAATCCTCATTCTTAATATTCATGGAAAACTTGCCACGCAATTCATGGGCAACGTAATTAGTCGCAAAACAATTTAGGGAAACCTAAGAGAATTTGAAACAACTTGATCGAATCAGTGCTGTTGAACATGATTGCTTTCGTAGACTGAGGATAGAAGTTCAGTAATATCAACCGTTTGAGGAATGTCAAGTGTCAGTAATAGCGAAGGATAGATTAGGATGAGCATAAAGTTATAACTATCTATGAAGGCACATGACTGAAAGCAGCATCCGCTGCGTATAGGGAGCAGTTCATTAATGAATCCAGGCCTGACAACTATGGAATAGACCGTTAATGTATCATCACAACACACATTACCATGACCACAACATATTGGGCACTCGAAGCCTTGACAGTGAGCAGTATTGCTTGCCCTCAGTCCTATGGTCTTTACCTTGACTCTCATTAGGTCGACAGCACTCATAATGCTGCCTTGATAGAAGCTTACTGTCGTAGAGTGTCTCTTCAATAAACCCTCCAACTCAAGATCCGGCTCTTTTCTGTTTATAATGAAACAGGATGCAAATTCTTAGCTATTTTTATCTTGCAGTAGAAGTTGGCTGTACTGAACAGTGAATAGAACTTTTCTGTTTGTACTGAGACAAGATTCAAATGCTTAATTAACTATTTCTATTGTCCTGCAGGAGTTGGCGGTACTGAACTGTGGATAGAACTTTTCTCCCGACCCTAATCAAGGTTGCGTAGGTCTTCAAGAAAAAAATAACCAAAACACCGCCTTTCCTTCGTATAATTCAGGGGAAGAACTGAAACATTAGTTTGGAATGAACGTGGAATACTTAACATATGAAATGACTCAATCAGAACGATAAAGATCGTTCTCTTCCTTCAAGTGTATGAGCAATCGAACAGACTTGACATCCGTGGAACGAAGAAAATGTTGATCGCTGAGTATTTGAGGTTAGTTAAACATAACAGGCTGCACGTGTTAAGAGTTAAACGCTAAATTTAAATCATAGAATTGCCGTTTTAATTTGCATTCAACAGTTACGAAATAACCTCCCTCATAATGAATGCAGAGGGATGATAGCTTCAACCGTTACCCAAAGCAAAGGAGCAATTTGTTTTAATGTGTAGCTGAAATCGAAGATATATCAGCTAGCCCGCGAGTTTGTAGGAGACTGTGAAGCAGTTGTGGATATCTTCTGCATGGCAGAATAAATACCAGTTCAAGATTGTATAAGCAAAATTGCTCAGTCGAGAGGTTTACATCCAGAATTGTGAGAAGGAAGGTGAATTGAGAACACTCACCACCACGACACCATAAACGGTGTGGTGTTAGTGCGCATTGTATATCATGCGTGGACGAAGTGTCTGCCAAGAACATGCTTTGGAAAATAGAACACATGTGAAACCCAGTGCTGAGAAGCCTGAAAAATATTCTGTCTGTTCGGCTCGTATGTGAGCATATCTGATATGTTTAATGATAAGAATTAGAATCAGAAGCTTCATCTTAATTAGGGTGTTATAGAATGACGAAAGCGTGATTTATTGTCCAACATGTAATAGAAAATTAATATTGCTTTATGAATCAGCGATATGTTATCTATGGTAATTTAAAAGTTATCCCTTTGAAGTTTGCAATTGGAGAAATAAAGCATATAAACATTGAAGAGGCGCAAGTGCCCATACAAAAAAATTAGCAATGCAGAGCTGGGCTCTTAAGCAGCAAGTCATTCCTGCCATTTGCGCAGCAGTCGACAAGAAAAATTCAGCCCAAAAAATTCAATTCAGTAAAAATTCACCAATGTCCAAAATTGGCAGTCAGTGGAAACAATACCTCGAATGCATAGCAGGGCATACATAATGCTTGGAGGTCAAGCATCATGTAAGGCCTTGCATAATCTCGTTCTACTCATTGAAACTAAGCTCTGGTATAAAATAACTGCGAAGAGTACTCATTGGAAAGTTTAATAGATTCGTTTGATATGGTAAGTTAACGATGTTTGGTTATTAGGTTGATTTAGAAGTAAGCAGCAGTGTTGCTGGACCATGCACTACGTAAGAGGCAGGAGGGTAGAACAAGTGGCGGTGTCATGGGCAACTCAAATAATCCAAACAGCAAAAAGTACCAAATAAGGAAACGGTTGGGAGCGCAACCAAGTATTGCGCATGTGTCTCAATACTCCCAATACAGAATATATGGCAATGATAATACGAATAATATGTTGATGGTAAAGTAGCAATAATAGGACAAAGAGTTATGGAAGTAATGTGGAAAAAATAGTATACCTTGACTCGTTCTAAGTCTACCGAGTTAAACATTGTGCCTTGAAAGAAGCCAACGCAAGTTGAATTGCGCTTCAACAAGCCTTCAAATTCCAGATCGGGCTCATTCCTGTAGGAGGGGCGGCAGATGTAAGTCAGGCCGCAGGATACAACTAATCCTATTGAAAATATCCCACGGATTTATTGTAGCAAATGAAGTTCAGCTGCTGTTAAATCACCCGTGATTTTCAATTAGGACGCCAACACAAAACGATCACAGTTTCAGCGATATCTCCAGGAGAAAGTAATATAAGAAATTAATTCCTTGTAAGGCCAGCAACAAATTTCCAGTCAGGTCCAAACTTGGTTAAAGTTTGAACATAAATTAAGAAGCATCGTAAAACCAACGACAAAAGTAAAAGTTCCCTACATCACTTACTCGTGGGATAAGAAAGCGGTATCCCAATGTCGTGCAACCAAACGAATAAATTTCATATGCATTTCTTATGTTTCTATGGATACCTGTAATAATGATCACTAAACATCCTATAAAACTGAGTAATATTTTGCCTGTAAAATCAAAAGCCGCATAATGAGGAAGTAAAGCTGTAGAATAATATGGAAAAAACATGCCGAAAGGGGAAATTATCTGTTAGTATTAGAATGATGGGCTTCTACTATTCATGAATTGTACTCTTCCAAAAAATAGTATTCGATACTTGAATTCATTCAACCATAATCATATTCATTCAACTAATTTCTCTTTAGGAAAATTGTCCTACTTCTACCGATCTCCCAGGATAATTGCCCAAATTTTGTCATATTAAATGTTGATGTCAACGCATGAAGTGTAGGTGAAACACTTCATGTGAAACACTTCAACACTTCATTCATTAACACTTCAATTAGGAGTAAACATTAAAAAAATTTCATTAGTAGCTTCTCAATCAATTTGTGAATGCAGGTTTCGCAACGAAAGGAAGCTTAGGGACAAGGAAGATACAAAAGATAAGAAATGTACAGGAATATTTCATATCCAGCACAACATACTTCAACACTAATTATTCCCAATTAAATGATATAAAGAAGCGAAACAAAATAAATGTCGTATATTGTCATTGTCAATAAATCATATTTGGTCAAGAAGTAACCACATATAAAGAAAGACGGAATCCATATAATAACTGATCCAGTTTAACATTAACGAGACGGTGTGACAATTATATATTACATCATTAAAAAAGGAACTAAAATTGCCGAATAAATAGAATTGATTGGGTGAATTTTTTTAACCTAACAATGTCACCAATAAAATGTTTGCAACCTCTGTTATACAGTATATAACTTATATATAACAGATATATCAATGAGTTATTAAAATTAGAACATAAAAAATAAATAAGGTGTTTCTTAAGAATAAATTACGGTATTCCTTATGAAATGAAAGACCTTTAGAAAATGACAAAATCAATGTGATTCGGAATTGTCGGCAAAACGAGAGGTAGTAACAGAAGCGCCATTACAAACAAAACACTCAAATTAATATCCGTCAATACAGCACACAAATTCTTCAGCAACTATTGCGACAATTCTTCATACGGAGACTATTAAATCAGAAAAATGGACGGGCCACATTGTACCAATAATAATTGACACTTTCTGCACTTAGCTTGTGATGCGTTTTTTTTTTCGGGCCATACTGGATCATGATGACCCATACAAGTACAAAAAAGTACATCGCTATTTGGACCAAGTCTTACTTATTTCTCTGAGTATGACTGGCAAAATACTTGATTAAATAAAAATGTGTCGTCGTCAGCGGAGACAAAGAGAGGGTGAAAGTTCTGTAGTCGATTTCGATTGATATAGGAAATGTTTTTTTGTGAGCTGAAAGTATTTTAGTTTTTTTACAAAACCAACTAATTCAGTGATCGCACTTTACACGAGTCAAATCCGAATTAAAATCAAAATCATGACAGAGTAATGAATATTTCCCAATTAAAGAGTAATGAATATTCAAATAGACATCGTATATACGTTCGTGAGAACGGAAGAAAAAAGTACTATTTCTTTTACCATCAACTTTTTCCTAAATTTTGGTATAAAAAGCAAACATTAGAGATTATGTCTTTTTATTTACGTAATTTATTACGTAAATAAACGTATTACGTATTACGCATTTGTCAATTTATTTACGGAAATTTATTCTTTACGTAAATGCCGTTTCATGCATGAGCATGAAACGAACAAGTCTATTTAAAATATAACAATATACAGGGTTATTCTAAATGATGGGCAAAATTTAATAAAGTCGTATTTATGTAAGTATAAATAATAAAAGAGAAAGATTAAATTTTTAGCGCATTTTCTCATTTATGAAAAAAGGCGCTATTATGCTCGCCATGTCCGTCCGTCCGTGCCCTCAAGTTTTCGTCGACGAGAAAATGCGCTCTCTGTCACTCACTGCAGTGAGTACTGAGTTATATTTTTTAACCTATACAAACTCGGAATTGGGAGAGAGCGGCGGAAATGGCCGCAAGAGTTCTCGAGCAGTAACGGTCGTTTTTGTTCTCGTGCCAGTTAACCAGCCAGGTGATTCAATACTGAATTTGAGACGAAATACCTGCTGTCTTGTAATTTACAACTCACTTTTAGCAAATTCAAGAACGCAGTAAAGCTTGTGCTGTACAGTAGCCACCACATTCACAAATGACAGTGAAACACAAATGCGGTTGGCTGGCACGACAGAACAATAGCGGCCGTTTTCGCCGCCGCCGCACAATTCCACATTTGAATAGGTTAAAAAATGTAATATTTCTTTCTCCATTGCTGTACAAATGGTTCATTTTGAATTTATACATAAATAAATACAAATTTATAAAATTGGGTGCATAATTTTGAATAACCCTCTTTATGTATATATAAAGACTATTGTAGTAAAAATATAAGCTACTTAAAGTACAATGCACTAACGACACGTACCTGTGCAAAAAGACCACTTCAACGTCGACATCTTCCCTGTCTTCGTGGAGGAAGTCTTTGAGGAAATGGCTGACCGACTCATATGTGATGTGTCCGCACACGACGATGTGTCTGGCGGAATGACATGGGCAATAGCACAAGCTCCTCTCATGGTATTTAAATTCAAATTGAAATATTGCTTGATCATACCTAAAAAATAAGTATTTCTGTATATTTGAAAAAATGGTCATGAAGAATCGTAAAGAGCCCATTTACAATAGTTTCCACCTTGTGATCGCAATATCGGAGCAAGTGTAATTCAGTTTCTAGTGTAATACTTTAATTAAATTAAATTTTTTTATAACTAAATACGCAGATAAGCTTATTAATGATTACAGTATCTTTGTTTTTTCACAAGATATTAACTATTGTGTTATGTCTCTAGACAAAATTTTACATGATGAGTATAAAGGTGACTTGATTACAGTCATATGGGCTAAATAAATAAATAAATAAATTGCACTGATCTTCTTTATTTGGTGTTCGATTTGAAACATTATGTTTTTAAATTCCATTTGAAAATGTCAATGCACATTACAATATACGATAAAAATTCCAAGTCCTGAAGCAGCATGAAAATTTCCAACCGGCGATAAATCGACGGAGTTATAAATCATTGATATGAATCATCACAAGACATGAACTTATAATCAGTAATTAAATATTTTCACGTAAATGTAGAGCGCATAATTAGATATTAGAAAAAAGAACAGAAAACCACCATTAGAAGAAGCTCAGTTAATATTGAATATTGCGTATATCATAAATATATATGTATATGTACATCATCAAGATATCCGGCAGAAAATGAAAACTATGCATTAAAATGATATTTAACTAATCAATACAAACTCCACTGTAGCTGTGAAAATCATAATATATTGGAAAATCTAAGCAGTTTTAGATGCAGCATGGATGATTTAATAATTTGTGTTATATTTTTTTAGTATGAGCTAAGAAAAGCAAACAATGATAGGTAGCTTTTATCATTCTAGATGATTGACAAACTCTTTACTTTTTATGCATGATAATATTCTAAGAGTTACGAAAGCTGCTGCATGCAGGTCCCGTTTGCTTATCATATGGAAGAAATTATCTATTTGAAATGATGAAAAATACAAAATTCAGTTTCTTTCCGATGCAATAATTGGAAGACAAATTTATATGAATCTCATTTTACTGAGATTAGTTTCCATTAAATGCAGATTGTGGGTAACTGAACATCGTTTCATGTAGGTTTTTCCTGTCTCATGATAGTGCTAACTTGACCGATAATTATTATTTTCCAGATAAGCAAACGAGGGACCAAACAACGACCACAATAAGCAGAGAAGCTACGCAAAATTAGAGGAAGTCAACGCTACGACTGCACACAAAACATTATATTAGTTACGTGTTAGTGGAGCACCATAGTCACCATAAGCCTTTGCAGTGAAGTATTAAAGCTTTGTAAAGGAAAATTATTCGAAAGCTCAAAATTGTTGAACAAATGTGGATTTGATTTTGGAGCTTGTTATGGAAAATGGAAGCAATCCATCATAGTTAAATTTTGTCAAATACTTTAATTTTCAATTAATTCACAGATAAATTAAGCGCACTTTTAAAAAAGTTTTGATGCTAGCAGAGCGATTATACCAGGAAAAGCAAGTAAGCAGGTGGAGAAAGGTTACCCTAAGAGAGTGTCTCTGCAAACTTAAATCTGCTTATTAATTGCGACATTCACACACTCATTAACAGTGAGTTGGGTATACATTGTTCTCTTTACAAGGTTTTCTATGACAAGGTTAGGTGTGAGTACCGGGTTAGTGGTGACTTTACAATACAAGTTCTAGGTATCATGGGTGACAGTTGCGGGTTGCTTCAGTTGCTGGTGGTGCAACGCTTTTGAATATCTTTCAATTATAATTTAGTGAACTTTAAATTGTGAAAAAAATTAACCCTTACGTGCTCATGCATTTGCATAACTTCAAATTTTACAGGATAAGATAACTGAGAATGGAAAATTAGCCCTTTCTCATGACCCAGTCATAGATAAATAAATATAAACTAGAGTGTATTTAATTAGAAATATTTTATATTTTACTAACGTGAGCTTCATTGCGATTAATTAATTTAAATTACAAATGGAATCTATTTATGCTTAAACGTCAAATGCAGTAAGTACTGACATTCTGGGCAACACTCCTGTTTTCTGAGTTATAATAAAAATTAGATAAATTTATACGTTCTACTATTCCTATAATAATGAAATATAAAACAATCTACAAAAAAACGTTTCAGAGTAATAATGAAACGTCTAAACTAGAGTTCCTGGAACATAAATATTTGAAGTATCGAAATGTACAAAATGATGAAAAAGTATTTCAAAAAGTATACTTTTCCTATTTTAGAGTAGATAAAAATATTTAATGGCCAGTTTAAAATGTCAAAGCATGAACGGAATGTTATTCAATGATGGGAATATAAGAAAATCCCGAAACAAATCTACTGATAATAGATTGCGGAAGAATACGGCTTAGGCTTGCAGCAAAAGGGACAAAATTAATCAAGTGAATAGCCCAAAATAAAAATGTTTCTGTTGGTGAATCTGAAGAAAGTGAAGCGAGAACGTTCTCTATTTTTATGTCATTAGAATCCATCCAAAAATCAATTTCAAGAGACTTGAGGGTGAGGGACAATGGCGACCTCTCATAAGGAATAATGAATTAAAAGGACTAGCGCAATCGAGGATATTTGAACATTGCAGCACCAGACTAAGCATCCCAACAAAAGTCAGAGTTTGTGTCTCGTCCACTAAACATCAAAGTGTGATTGTATTAAATAAACGACTGTCACCTATTATGAGTATAAAGCACTCTACCTTCGCCCTCTCTCGTTCTTCAGTGTTCCAGCGTACTTTGATCTAGTGCCAACCAGATCTATTATTTCAGGGATACAGCTTGCGAATATGGCCTAAAGTAGAGACGGAGCATAAAACTTATAAGTAGCATGGACAAACAATAAAACAGATCACACTGTTGCCAAATTTCATGCAATATTTAAAGAGGCACTCCTCTGCCAAAAATTAAAAAATATATAAAAATGAGGAAAGAAAAAACGTAAAAGTCATATGGCCGTGGTCAACATGGCAAATCAAGGGGAGGAAGTGATCTGAGGTCATGAGAGGTCAGCAATATAATAGGTAAGTAGTTCACGAGAGAGCAAAAAGAGGTAAGCCCAATTGGGCCTGCATGATCGGCGTACAAAGACATTAGTGCCTGAAGCCTGCAAGTGGTATCTTTATAACAGGATAGATTATAGTATAAACCCTCTTCTAAAAGGTGTTACTACTACTCTAAGAATGGTGTGTTTTCTCATGCAAGAAGTGCGTCAAAATGCCGGGGCCTGGGGTCGAGACTACGAGTTTTTCTTTGAACTAATACCTCCTTCCATGGGAGCGTTTATACTCGCCGCCATACTTGGGTCTGTTGCCTACGATCTCGGTGATTTCTGGTATCCAGCTTGCAAAGACAGCCTAAGAAACCACACATCAAGCCAGTCAGATATGGGCGGCTGACGACGCACAAAGATGCCCTCTATCATCATTATACATGAGTGGGAATTACAACATATGAAGCACAGTGTCGCACGTGTCAATAGAAGCTCTGGTGAGTGAGGTGAAGCATACATGGTAAAGGCTAGAAATATTTATAGATATTAGGTTATTCATAGGTACGGTGCATAGTGATGAGAACATATGATGGCATTGGTCGTTCTCGGTGTAATGTTTCTTTTATTTCGAATTATGAATGAGTGTGAATGCATCCGGAAATTTGCAATGAATGGGAAGCCACTTGAGAGTGAAATAGTAAACTGATAGTAAATAGCGAGTGAAGTAATAATCGAGGAATGCTATTGAACGAGTTTTTCGTTCAGTTGGAGACGTTTCTTTGACTAATGAAGTATATATCCATTAAAGGATTATGAACAGCAAATTAGAACAAAAATTAATATCAACACAAATTGGAACATAATTTACAGTAAATTTCGGTCGCCAAACTGTGTTGGTCCCCTTTTTTCATGATAATATTTTCGATGACCCGATGTCTCGAATAAAATTAGCAAACACGAAGTTGTGCCTACAAAAAAGTTAAAATATAATAATATTCATATTTAGTGGTGGTGTTATCATCGGAACATATTAAAATTGGTATGCACATTTACCTGTGTGGGATTTAGCTGTCTAATTTTACGTAAATGCGAATTGCACTAAAAATTTCATGAGAAGTTGAATGATTTATTAATATAAGTTGTACGAAAACACGAGAGCGTTGTGAAGTGAATCGAATATGTATGATATCTATATATTCATGTTTACTTGTTGAAAACAATATTTAATGAATATGATTAAAGACAATCACTATCAAAGTGATTGGGAATGTCTAAGGCTTCTTGAACTATTTCGGGTTTGATTGAAACTTTTCTAGGAACTAAGAATATGTATTTTGTTTTGATTTATTTTCTTTCCGGGCTGTGAAATCTTACAGTATAATATCTTACATTTTGATCGTACGTGATCATGATATAAATCCAAAGCTTCAAACATAAAGAACTATGCTCGGATCGAGCATTTACAAAATGTCTTATCCGCTCTTATAAAAGTTTTAAAAATTATAACTTATGCATACTTATATGGTCTTCTATACATTGTTTTAATTAACTATACATTCATTCTTTTCAGTTGAATGAATCAATTATTTAATCGACAATTGAAAAGGTTCGTTTATGAAACAACCAAATTCAGCTGTATTTTTAAATGTATTGCAAAAAAGGCAAGTCATTTGTGGTTCAACATAATTTATGTGTAACTCTGCGTTCAATTTGAATATTGTGAATGGGCATTTTCAGCGGATCAAACAAAATTTCGTTCAACCTTTAAGGAATATTGCACCTTTTTACAAGTGGATGTCTAAATTTTCTGCCAGAGATTAACTGGATAATTTATAAAAATCTGAAAAATGTTTTTTTTTATATTTATATCGATATTGGACTGGCAAAAAAAAACATACACAAATGTAAACTAAATACTAACTGAGAATAATTGGCCTGCAGATAAATTTTTAGTGAATATTTAGGCATCAAACACAAGCATATAAAGGAAGGCACCACAAGGAGTCAATAATTGATTTTTTATACGTGATTTTTTTATGAAAAAAGTGAGATTTTTCTAATAACATTTGAGTTTATCTCCGGCAGTGTAACATTTACCAGCAAGGAGGCGATTCATGGGGCTTAGTGTTATTGAATGCAATTTATTTGGAAGCGTGATTGAAAATTGGATGTAAATGAAAAATTGCTCAATTTCTCGTTAAGAATATCAAAACATTTTTATCATGGCCATAACATAAAAATTATATTCAAGGGCGAGATTAAAAAGAGAAAGAGCTACAAGGGAAGAGAACAAAATAAAAGATGGATTGAAAAGTACGATAATACATGAAGGAGTAGAGCCATGTTCAACGAAAGTGAAAACCGAGTATAACAAAGAGAGTAAATGAGTAAAATTTATCGTATTGCAAGTGGCATGCAAAATGATGATAAGGAGCTATATATGAAAAAATTGTTATAACTCATATACGAGGAAACTAGGAAAATAATACAGGTAACTCAATACACTGTTGTTCATAATTTAAAAAATGAGTCATTTGCGGCAGTTAAAGCCACTTTTTATTCTGTTGTCATTTCAAATGCTTCAGATTCTACATGAGTTACCCTAAGAGGCTTGATATAATTGACAAGTCTTCCTCTATGGTAACACGGCACTGTCTGGACACACCTATGCATTTATAATTAGTTACAATTCGGTTAAAAAACCCTAAGTTTATAAAAACTCATCGCTAATTTGTAGAAGAATATTAGGATAATGAATTTTATGTAATTTGGCGCTCGGATAAACTCGTTATATTTCTACTTAACAATATCAATATTATGTTGATTTCTTCAAGTGAAGAGTTTCAGATCTGAATAAAAGAGACTAGATTTTTCACTGGAATCTACATTTTTTAAATAACAGTGAGAGGGTACGTCTTATGTGTAATGTAAGTTTATTATTGAAAGTCGCTGTTAGGAAGGTGGACATACCGTTTGATATGAATATATTTGTCCACAAGAATTAGTGTCTGGTCCATGAAGATGGAGTTTGAATAAAGTCAAATCAAAGTCAAGTTGATGGTGACAGTGTTAATGATCGTGCAACATTATTGCATTTAGAACGTGACTGGTAGTTCAAACGTTGCCAGCTGTGATATTGGCAATTGTGATATTGCCAGATGCGATACTGACAATTGTGATATTAGCTGTTGTATCATTGACAGAGTCGCGGTATCATTGACAGAGTCGTGGTAGCGAACAATAAAGCTGTATTATATCAAACGTGCCCTTCGAAAAAAGTGCGTAGCACATCGTTTACGCTGTACACAAATGTTCGTTGAACGAGAAAAGTATCGTCGTGGTTTAACAGAGAGCTTGCAGGTGCTATGGAAAAGTTGCATTGGACTAACACAGATTCACGCGTACAGGTCGTACATGCTGAATATCACAAGCCAGGCCACAACAAGCGTTCGAGTTGCTACCTATTGAAAATGGTCGGCGTAACATCGTCGACCGTTCCATCGGACATAGAAGGTCGGGAATAATTCGCCAGTTTTTTTCAATAGGGTTATATATAATCAGTGAGACATTAACAGCTACTATGCGACGACAGCATGGACTGCGAGCGCTCCAGGTGCGATAATTAATGATATTTTCGAATCCACGTACTATAGCTGCACGTAGGAATAACAGTAAATGCGTTTTTTTTTTCTTCAGCGCAAACAGTCCATACCGTCAGTCCCATATAACAAACAGGCGTTCACTAAATAAGGCAATATCAACGGTATGAGTGAACGTGGGGCTACAGAACCTGTGCTGCAAGCGCGGTTCGGTGGAACACTGGGATCATCAACTGAATTCAGAGTAAAAGTTCTCACAAGTGAAGTGAACTAACATTGCCAACGAAATAAATATAGTTTCCTTTGCTTGTAGGATAAACAAATAACTTCAATCAACAAAAGTTTGGTAGAAGGAAGGATCAATAAATGATCAAATAATCAAGAAATCAAGCGAGTAACAAATAAATGAAAATGACCCTAAAGTAAACTTTGACTCGTATAAGAAATTTTTACAGGTGCGCGCCTTCCATGAAGTGCGTTCTCCACGTTTAGAAATCATGTCTGTCATCATATCAGGTAACAGGCGTTCGGTTGATGAATAACAGTAAAATTGTAAAATGTTTCATGCATATACAGAGTGAACTTTTGTTTCAGTCCCCCAAGAAACATTTTGATAATCCCAACGAACTTGTCCAATTTACACGCTATCAAAAATTTTGCAACGGCATATTGAAGCAGTTTCAACTCAACGCAGTTTTTGTCTAATTGATTAATTATACATGACAAAGTACAAAAAATATCCTACGTGGACTTTATTGTCAGAGCAATTCATGGATTTATGTGAAGAAGGACGTAATTAATAACAACGGAATTTTGGACAGAGGAGTGTTCAAAAAGGGGCACATTTTCGGTGGATACACCAAAACGGAACACAAGCACATCGACAATATTCAGGCTCTACAGGCAGCTTTAACATGGACTCGACTGGGTGAGGAAGAGAATAGGAGAGGCAAATAAAGCATAACTAAAGTATTTATTGTACACATGATAACGCTCATCATGACATATAGGAAGGATGGTTAGTGAGTAGTAGTACCTCTTGCCATGTTCTCGCTTGTACTCGCCAGCGTACTTGGAGCGAGCACCGATCAGGTCTATTATCTCTGGAATGCTACTCGCAAACAACGCCTACAAAGGAACGTTCACAATCAGGGATGGAGTCTTCACAACAAAATATTAGCTTAATTATTAAGAATTATTTGA